AACCAAAATGTTGGAGGCACTGTTAGGATTTGGGCCTTGATTTTGGACAGTAGTGTTGGAGATCAAATTTGATGGAATTATAGACAGAAAAAGTGTAATTTTGAAGATTTTGATCCAACATTTGGAAAGCATCTAATTGGCTTCTTTTTTGTTCAGCATGCCAATGATCCCAAACTGCTATTACAGTAAGTTGGATAGAAAAACACACAATAAAACACTATTGGCCTCACCAGAGCACGCACCTCAACATTACTGAAGCAGTGTGGGATCATCCTGACAGAGAACAGAAGGGAGAAATCATATCAAAGATCAAACCCAGTTTCAGCTCAGAGTTAATACTTGTTGAGTGGAGCTTTTAAAGTTCAGAAAATGTTGTTGCTGTGTCTCAAATCATTTTAACTGAGTCAGCATGAACTCAGCTGAAGACAGGTTTTAAAATTTTGACAAAAAAATAAGTTACCGAATAAAAAAAATTGGGCGTGTGAAAGAAATGTATGTACTGAACCTCTGAGCCCGCTCTCCTTCTCTCACAGCTTATTTACCATCTTATTCACCAGTAGGCTGATATAAATCAACAAGTCGATATAGATCATTGCAACTCTAGTAATCAAGGAGTTATTTTAGATTACATATATACAGGTTCTGGGGTGTGATTTGTCGTTACCACTCCTTACACATGTATCACAAAAGAAGGAGCAGAGACAGATCAATTACTCCTCCACCATTTGTCTGAACACAAGGCTGCATTACATACTTTCAGTGAACCTGAGAATAAAACAGGTCTATATTTTTTCGTTTTTACTTACCAAATCATTCTTGGGTCATTTTTAAAACAAACAGTCTAACTTTGTTAAAATAAGCCAAACATTTTAACAACAAATGCAAACAGGCTGCACCTGCAAAACATGTTCTAGCTTTTATATTTGTGACTTAATGGTTTAATGACTGAGAGTTTGATGGTGAACCTTTACAGAGGGTTCAGAAACCTTTAGAGTTTGTAGTCTTCATGTGCAAACACTTCTTCTCTCTGTGATTTGTCAGGTCGTCAGCACACTACTGTCATCTGCAGGATTTAAGAAGTAATGACAAAGATGTGCTGTGGCTGCAGGAGTGTAAAATTACACATGCAACCAAACAAACGCATTCTTAAAAGTCCTGGTTTTCTAAGTGTGTGTGTACAGAAAGAACATTTCATCCTGAAATGCAGTAAAATTGAATCTGTTTTCAAATAAATCAATAATAATAATAATAAACACCTCCATGCTGTTTTCTCTAGTCAAACATCAACATTGGAACCTCATAAATGATAAACAAGAAGCTGACCCCTTATTTTTGCTATAAATCGCTCCAACACTTATCAAAATATTTGCTGATTACTTCAGTCCAATAATGAACTAATTACTAGCACAGTGTCATCACATTTTATTGGCCCCAGTGCCAAAACAAATAGGTCTTCCTGCATTATTGATGAGGGAGGAGCTGTCTAATATCACGTTTGACTGATCAGATTAATGTCCTCTTCCCTCTCTCTCTCTCTCTCAGCAGGTCCCCTCTGTGTCCCGCTCTGCCCTGAAGTCAGAGCAGCTTGATCAATGGTATTGATGACAAGATGCTAATAGCAGATGCTAATAGGGTCGGTATGAGTAATAGACCGAGGTTGCCATTGATCTGCAGAGTTAGCATCTAATGCTAAAACAGCTGATTCAACCGCATAGTTGGACTAAAAGTGCCACCCTTGCTAGGTGTGTGTGTGTGTGTGTGTGTGTGTGTGTGTGTGTGTGTGTGT